GTTTTATGCTAACAACTAAGAACTATATACATATGTATATGTACATAAGATATAAATTGAGAGAATTACAACTCATCCTGAATGAATTACGATATTCTTATGATATAACAGCTTAAATTATTTTTGACCTTGCAAAATACATATGTATGCATGTACATGGGTATGTGTATGTATGTACATGATATTGATAAATTAAAAAGCTATTAACCTAAGCTTCAAAAACAGTAACAAAAACAAAGATATTCAAATTCAAGTGACACGAAAGTGTTTGCACACATGCTATTCTTTATTTCTTCTCATTGCTAAATTCGCATTTACCGTTGTTTTCGACGTTTTCAATGTGCACAGCTGTGGCTACCGCTATGTTCTGATGATTACATTGATACATGAAGCAACTATGCACATACATACATATGTGTGTATACATACATATGCATGCACATACATATGTACATAGATATGTATGCATACATACATACATATGTATTTTCTCATCTCTTAATAGAGAGACGGATAGTCTCTATGAAAGCATAAACATCAGCTCACACGTGTAAATTAAAATTTGTTCGCGACGATTCCAGGGTCCACATGCAAAATGCTGGCGGTCTTTATATTACTTAAGGGAAAGGAAACGATGGAAAACGTTGTTGATCATAAGAAAAAGTGTGTTAATGCGTGACCATTTATTTGCCTGTTTCGAATTCTACCTAAGTCTGCTGCCTGTGCAAATTGTAAATTCAAAAATTTGCTGTTGGTCGGCCTTGTGAAATGCGCAGACACATTTGTATTTATGCATGCTATGACCAGAATTTGAATTGTAGAAAAACTGTCAAATTAGAATTTATAACCTACGGCAATAATTTTGAAAATAAAGAGTATAGAGTAGGTTGACTGGTAATTTTTCTGTAAAAAATACTTTTGTAAATTGCTTTTTTTTTGGACTCTACAGCTCATTTTGCTTAAAACCCAAAAAATAGTGGAAGTTCATTTAAATAATAGTGCGTACATCAAAAAAGGCGCCAAACTTTTAATCGATGTTTTCTGCAACATTGTGAGCAGTGTTGTAAATTGACAAGAAGTCACGCACACAGGCACATGTCATTTTGGCGGTGCTCGCTTTTTAGTGCTTGGTTATTTCATTTCTAAGATTAGCATCAACCACTTCGTCCATTGCATTTCACAGTTATACATTTGTCTTAAGAACCTTAACTATTGATTTAAGTAAAGAAAAGGAATAAAATATATAAGAAACAAAATTAACATGGACGAAGATAACGGCGGTACTCCTCGTGGTAAGTTGCAATGATAATGCTTCGTTTACAGCTTATTGCTTCTCCGCAAATGCTTCGGTAGAAAATCCGTTTGAATTTAAAAACAGACGCAAAGAGAAAGCGCGTTGCTTCATTGTTTCTGTGGAAGCTATGTTTGTGTATGAATAAAGAAAGGTCAGCTTATATGAATTTTTTGTGCATTTACAGTAACTCGCGCACGGAGTCGGCGACTTTCTGCCCTGCCAGATTCCGATGGCCGCGCCATGACCCCAGTTATAGATTCAACTGTCGAGCGTGGTAAGTGCATTTCGTAATTATTGATTCGCATATTCTGCACTGAGTATTGTTATTGCAGCATCTCCACGTCCAGTGCGTCGAACACGCCTGAACTCGGCCACTGCCGAATTGAGAACTCCGACTCGGACCACCCGTGCGTCGCTAGCACGTGGATTTACGCCAGAGCCAGCTACCCCAACATTGCGCACGCCTGCCAAGTCGGTGGTAAGAAAATTGCCATTGCCAGAAGAAGTAATTGAAGAGGAAGCTAATCAAACGGTAGCAGCACAGAGTATGCCCAACCCAGACAATAATATCAATGGGAGCAACGATGGGGCTGAAGCTGCTGTTGTTGCTGACTCCAAACGCACTCCAAGTGCTAGCGATGTAAAAGAGCTTAACATACCACCATCATCAGAGGAGCGACGTGTGACGCGTTCCATGTCAAAGACTCCACCCATGAAGAACCAAACTCAGCTGAAATTTGATACACTAAACTCATCAGAAGAGAATCAGGAAAAGCAAACAAAGGAGCAAATTGAAAACGCTTCTGAAATTGTAGATGCGCCAATCGAGGCACATACATCACTGCACTCTGATATAGACGTAACTGAAGAATCAAACATTGCTGCTGCCACGAAGGATCCTATGACCCCTGCTTTGGCTACTGCTAAAGTTATGGTAAAAGTCAAAGATATCCTGATCAGCGGCAAGCAAGATACGCCACAGTCCAGTGAGGATCGAAATATATCCATTGTCGAGGACAAAGAACCTGACACTACAAAAGCAGAGATTATCGAAGACAAAGCCGAAATAAAGAATTCTGTTGATGCCCCTGCTGATGTTCCACCAAAGCCCATCGACCCGGTCGTTGTGCCTCCAGCTAATGATGAAGCAGGAGCTAGTACTGCTGAAGTCACCGATGACATTCGTTTGCCCGATCTAACACCAGGCATAAAGAAACGTTTACTGGGACCAAATCAGGCAGAGCCTCTGAAACATGTAGTCTTTAGTAACTGTGGACCAGATGAAGAGACTGTCAAGCCGATATTTCCGAAAACTCCAGCACGCTGTAAACTACCACCAACAAAATACATTAACCTTACAGAGGCCAAGCTCAAGACGCCTTTGAACTGTGTCTCCGTAAAGAGGCGCAATAGCTCAACACCTCTGGCCAAGTTAGAGATGCCATCGAGCGAAACTGTATCCAATGAATCGAATCAGCCACCTCCGCAAATTGATATGATAAAACCTCTATCAGAACCTCTATCAGATGAAAAGCCAGTTGTCGAGAGACCTAGGCGGCCAACCCCACCGCTTGACAGTGAGGATGAGGTCGTTGACGACGTGGTAGAGTATATAGATGAGGATGATGATGGTGTGAACGACCTATTTCAAGATCCATCTGTGGCCGAATATTTTGACAATGAAGTGGAGGTTGCTAATGATTATCACTCTGGTGACTCAATGGATAGCAACCTTCGCGATGAGATCGCGGCAAATGAAATCCCACTAGATGGCGAATCTGTTGGCAGCAAGGACACAACTGATGATCAGTCAGAAGATAGTGCCGATGAAAAACTGTCGTTCATTGTATCAGATGATGAGGGGGATGGGAATATGTTTGACAACGAAGGGGATGACTATGTGTTAGAGGATGAAGAGGATGAGGATATGTTGTCACCTTTGCATTTTTCTGACGAAGATGCTGAACCGGAACCGGAACCGCAACCCAGAAAACGACGTCGTATTGTTGTTAATGATAGCAGCGATGATGCTGATGAGCCAGAGAATGTTCAAGAAAATAATGATGATATCGCTGGATCAGTAGAAGCAAAATGGAGCAGCGATAATGATAGTGTTGAAGAGAACGGTGAAAATAAGAAGATAAATGAAGTTCAAGATAATAAGGGAAATAATATTGAGGAACAGAAGGAAGAATCAGCCCATGTAGATGTTAAAGTAGACATCGATGCAAGTCAGGAATCATCTGAGCAGCTGCAGTCAGTAAAGCCAATTAAAAAGCTGGAGAAACGTTTGCACATGTCGGTATGCGAGAATTCGCAATTAAAGCCTCAGAGAGCCGATAAGTTGAACAAGACAGTTCCGCCAATAAAGATTAATGTATACCAAAAGATCCAAAAAGATGTTGCCCGTTCCAATGAAGAGAAAAAGCAAAAGGATAAACCAAGTACTAGAAAGAGTATCAACAAGAGTATTTGTGTAGTGCCTGATTCTGAGGATGAAGTTAGCGAGGGAGAGCTGCCCCATTCGGGCGATGAACTATCAGAAGCTGAGTCCATTGATGAGGTTGATCTGACTGAGTCGCCCGCTCTTAAAGCTGAAGAGTCCAAACCGAATTTAGCTGAAGCTGAGGAAAAGGCTGCACCTACTGCATCTACTAGCAAGTCGTCCACATTCCATGCCAACCAGAAGCGTGAGGAAGAGGTGGCTCTTCTATCCGAACTGGATTCGTGTGATTTATCACACTTGCGCCAGATGTTCAATCCGCTCCAGAAAGCACGCCGCCAAACTTTGTACGTTCAGGATCTGCACGGCCGCTCCGATAAGCAGCCAAAGCCGAAATTAAAGCGTCGCAGTGAACAATTGGACAGCGATGTCAATCCATCACAATCGTTCATCGAGACTCTGGCTGAGGAAAGCCGCCAGCGGACCAAACGGAAGCGTTTATCAAAGAGCTTTTGTGGCACTATCGACGTATCGAACACCAGCGAATCAGCTGAAACTCTGAGAATAACCAATGAAGAAACGTCAGATAAGTTACCACAAAGTGATATCGAAATGGGTGAACATGAGTCCGCAGCATATATTAAAGAAGAGGTAGCCGAGCCGATTGAAAGTCCGAAGAAAACTGTTAGCCAAGTAGATGAAACTGTTGAGTCGGAGGAGGAGGAGAAACTGCCCACTGCTCCAACAAAGAGCCGCGACGAGTATCTGGAATATTGTGAAACCCTAATTTTGGCGGCGAACCAGGCTAAGCTGGAGCAGAAGAAACAGGTAAGCTATCTGAAGCGTAATCCAATGCGATTTACAAATATTTGTATTAACCTTTTTACATTACAGCGCGTTGCAGCGGGCAGAAAGCAAAGAGATCGCTCGATTTCCAAGACTATGCCTATTTCTGACAACACCATTAAGGTGGGAACAGGCGCGCCTAAGCAAGAACCCCGTACGATAAAAAAGGATTTGAAACGTCTACAAGCCACCAAGCAGGCCATCAAGCACGCTATGCATATGCTCATCCCGGAGACCGCCGACAATCACGTAAGTTGTGGTTTTTGGATTATGTGCTCGTCTAATTACTGTCTCTGGCTCTTGCAGCCCCAGTCGCTGGCTCGGAAAATATCTCCTCAGCCGCCGGATAACACCAAGTCCGCAAAGGCGAAGGCCAAGCAGCGATCCACGAACAACAAACAGAAAAAGAACAAATTGGTTCAAGTTTCTCCAGTGAAGAGCTCTGACGAGGAGAATCACCAATCTCCCAGACGTATAAGGACCACTGCGGGTTACGTCACAGTTAAAAGCAACAAAGAGCCGAAACGCATTGAAACATTCAAAACATCGTCCAGCATTGTTCAGGTCGAGCCGTGTACGCCTACCTCAAAGTATTTCAAGGAGATTCGCCAATCACCCAAGCCCCGCTACGGTTTCAAAGAGGTGAAAATGGTTGGCAGAAAGTTGGCGTCTTCGTGTACATCAGCATCGTCGCCGGTTCGTAACCCAGCTACGGAATCTGCATTGCGCTTCAAGCGTGAAATATTTGGTAGACGTCACAAATAGGTAGTAGTACTCTATAAATTTAAAAATATTACTTATTCGTTTATAGCACTAGCAGACGCGGGCTCGCTGAATTCATTTAATTTACATATAGTTTATACAAATTTTGCGTAAGTTTTGTTCATTGTTCAACAATTGAATTATGCTTTCATTTGAATTGTTGCTCCAGTGTAACGTCTAGAGTAAGCGAATTGAAGTTTTATAGTTTTTATTTGTTATACATCAAAATACTTTAAACGAGCCTGCAAATTAAAGCACGTTAAAATTTGTACTGTTTAATATATACTTTTTTCTAAATACTGTGAATTATATTTTGAAATGTTATCCATACATCTGTAGATTATAACCAAAATATCGAAATTGGAATTAATACATAACAGCTTGCCATATTTTTTTTTACAATTAAATAATTTTTGCAAAATTAAAAATATAAAATATCATACTGGTAATACTTTTGCTTCGGTATTTTGTTTTTTTTTTTATTTATATATATTTTGTTTCTTTTATACTCATTTAATGGAAAACATAAACTTAGAAAATGTACATTATTGTTTTAT